GTCTGGAAAAAGTCTGAATGAATGGACTACCAGCGTATGTTTGTGTACTACTTAAAGATGTACTTCTGAAAACCAAGCCAGTGGGGTTTGTTTATGGAAAGCACAGGGATGGTGAACCTCAAATTACTTTTTTGGCTTCACTCACCAATTTCCACTGGTTTGTAAACAAACAGTGATTTTATAAGTTTTATTTTAGTTAAACTAAGTCAGTTTATAGCATGTTTATAATTTTAGTTTTGTCAGGAGGAAATAGGAAGTTGGTATTGGCTCACAGAGTGGAAGCCGCATAGAAGCAGATGAATGAAGAAAATGTTGGCTGAGAATAACGACTCTGTGCTCAGACAGAAGCAGTGATGATTACACTTATTGCAAATACTGCCAAACATTAAATTATACTGTTGGGCTGATCACAAATGTATTTTTGGCTCATTTTAGTTAATGTTAAAAATAAGACATTCATTTTGACGGATTGAATAGCACTTCCCTCAGCAACTTCACTGAAAGAAGGCCCTGAGTTCAATTCCCGGACCAGTTGGGGCCTTTCTGTGTCTGAGGCACTCTAGTTTTCCATCAACCCAAAAGATGCAAAATGTTCAAGATCCTCGTGCCAAAGTAGTCTCAAACCACACTGGCATTACAAAGATCAATAAGATATATGTTAATCTGGACCTTGCTTTCTCTAGTGCCAATCATGAGTTTAAAAGGAGCTTAAAAAGCTTAAGTAAAGGAGAGCATGATAATATTACAGTCAGTCAATGCATAAGAGCTGCATAAGGTAGAGCAGTTTGAGAATCATTATGTTTGACATATGTATTCCATGTAATGACATTACAGATATTGTAAAACTTTTGGAAACATGATGCAAATTTCTTTGAATAAACCAAGTAGGCAATATTCTCCTACACAGAGCAGCATGTTTGCCTCTTGTATAATTATGATTTGTGACAGAATCATGAAGATGGTGAATACTAAGTTTGAATTTTAAACAAAAGCCAGTGCTGCTGTTTGACATTTGGCAGAAAGAACCGCGTTTCAATATGGATTATTCATCTGTGGTTTGATCCTCAACTCAAATGTCATCACAACAATGCTTCAAACTTGGCAGCAGCTCCTGTCTCTTCTGCAGTGCTGTAGGCTAAAGCTGGCAATGATTACTACATCCATGTGGCCCTCTGAAATGTCTGACTGATTTGTGGTTAAACAACAATAGTCATATTTATTGTGTAAATAATTGGTGCATTTAAGCACAAGTGATGAATGAGAATTAATTTAGGGGGTCCATAATCTGCATAATAACAAGCCACAAGCAGAACCCCCTTGAAGAAGAGATAGCTGGAGGGGCAAGCCAAAATAAATAAAAGTAGCTGTTGCTGTAACAGTCCAAAAGCCACTGAATAAAGGGCAACAAATTAATTAACAGTGGATGTCATACATGAATCTTTTCTTTAAAAATGTTCGTAACTTCCACTAAGAAGATGCTGAGAGAAATCTGAGCCAGATTCACAAAGCTCTTAGCTTGCAAATTCCCTCTTAAGTGACAGTTGCGCCTAATTCACCAACACCCAGTTACGAACACTTCCACACTCATTTACATTTCATTTACATAGAAAATGAATATGCATTTGGTTAGAAATGATCTCTGAACTTCCAAATTTGGCCAGTACGGGTTTGACATTATGACACGTGAAATCGCAAGGGAGAGAGTGAACGAGGGGGTCAGGTGGAGCGTGTTTACAGACTATGGCTGTTTTACAGGGGGGGGGGCGCGCATGAGAATGCGCTCTGGTCATGGGGTGCGCGGGGGGTTGAGTCCAGCGTGGTGACCAGGTACACGCCTGTAACAGTGGCCCATATGGAGAGCATTGGGTCTGGGACACACTGAGGCTCACTACAGCCTGTATAAAGTCTGTTAGACCCAAGACTACATGCTCTATAACACTCCTCAGAAATGTTATTGGATCACTTAGTAATATGTTTACAGGAAATATTTTAAGAAACTATATAACTTGCAATTATGGAGTGCTACTGGCTGTTTACAGGATTTGGTCTTACAGAACATTTTCAGAATGCGAAAAATGTTTGTAAGAAGGTCTTAAGTACAAATTTGTTCTTAAGAATGTTTCATAAATGAGGCCTATTGAGCTAAAATGGAATAACCTTTCATCAGTTTGTCAATCCTCCAAAATAAAGAGAAAAACATGAAATTGAATCAGTTCATTTTCAAAAGTAATTCATATGTATGCAATCCTGCTTTATATATATATATATATATATATATATATATATATATATATATATATATATATATATATATATATATATATATATATATATATATATATATATATATAGAATAGACAAATTATAATGTATAAATGTGGACGTAGATCACTTATGGTACGGATAAAGCATGTCTGCAGCAAAAGCATCCAATTTCCTGAGGCCCTAATATCTATTGTAATGTCAGAGTTTAAACCATATGGCTCATATTAGCATCTACTGATCTGGACTGAAAACAGCCACATGTCCCCCAACACCTGACAATAGTTACTGCCAGGCTCTGATAACAGATGTGAACGATGACTGGCGTAAGAAAACTAAAGGAAAAATAATTCTCTGTAATGTCAAAATTAATCTGTCTATGGATAATAATTCTTTTGTTTTGTTTTTTGCTACAGTTAAAAAGAAAAAAGAAAAGTAAAAAATTTTCTGATAGCAACCAATGGCTCTGGGTAAGGCTGTTTTTTTCCCTTCCGCAGTGAATTGACTATGAGTGCACAAGAGACCACAAACCCCTACTTTAAATGTCCCATGGAGCCATATTACATAACAATTACATAACATCCCACTGGTTACAAAAGTGAAATAATAAATCCTAAACATTGCATGCACTTATTAAAAGTATTTAGCCAGACATATCAATGATCAATGAGCACTGTGTTTCTATGGCAAGCCGCACTGGGACCATCTTGCATTAACTTAAATGTTCACTCAAAAAAATAAACACACCTTCTTTAGTAGAATATTTATGTAGTATTGACTCAATTGAAAAAGCATTTATTCCCAGGTGTGGGTCTAGGGGACATGCTATTTTAGTAAGTGTTGCAAGCTGGGGCTTAAGAAATTTGCAATGTTTTGGGTAGTGGACAGAACATGTAACCCATGATTAAAGGTCCAGTGTTACTCAAAATGGATTCATGTAAGCTCTAAGACATGTTATAATGCTACCTCCTCAAAAACATACCAGGAGTTGTGTTTTGTTTCTACACTGTCTACATCTCCAAAGCTCAACATGCTCTGTTCTACCTTGTGCTGTCATGTTATAGTAGTTTTACAACAGCTCTGTCCCATCAGCATTAAGCAAAGTCACACATTTTATTTTTGAATTAAGCGTATACATCTTAGTATTACAATAGCTCTTCCTGAGATTTTTAGCCTCTGATAGCTAATATCATCAACGTTAACAGTAAGGCGATTCTGTAACAATCCACAGTGCCAAGGATAAAGTGAATCTGTTCGTCTTGCTTTGACCACCCTGGCATCTGTGTAAAGCCTAGGTTGGCATCTACTCTGAGCTACATGAAGACCCATATGAAGCACAGTGAAACTTAACACCATACGCAGCAGTTTTCATCAGAACTGAGAGGACATTGGCCCTTCTTGTCCCTGAAGTGAAATTGGGGTAACAAAAGCTCACATCCGACGCAGCTCAGTCAGGTAACAAGGGGAAGTGCTCTTTCAAGGTGGCGAGTTTTCTTCCGCCCAAAGCTCTCCGTGAGGGGGCTTTGGGCAGCAGGAGGAGGGGATCCGGTTGCAGGGGGTTGAATTGGCGCTCTGTGCTGCTGGCTCTCCCCTGGACACTGTCATAGCCTGTTTGCTGAAGACAGGTCAATGAGGGTATTCTCTGGCAGCAGGAATTTCACAGCGCGCACACACACACACACACACACAGCTGCATTACACCAGATAAATGTGGACATGCTGTCATAAACAAAGATGGGCACGGAGTGAATTTGGGAGTGACTGCATGACTCATATCTTAGACTTTGCAAGTTTTTGCCTGAGTGCAGAACCATAAGATTGCAAATAACAGACAGATGTTGGCATACCGTGTGTAGCATGATGTTTGGAATTTGTTTAAATATTACCAAAGACAAGTGGATGCAGTATTCATGGGTTTACTTTTTCCTCTCATCCACTTAGGCTATAGATTGTATTAAGTTGTGTATTGATCATGTAATCAACTAAGTAACCACACAGACTCTGTAATAATAAGAATACTAGTCTGTACCAATCCATGCTTTAAACTGTAATATGACAATATACTGAATAAGCCTGATTTGCTCAATTATAAAGGCTGTTCTGTTTCCCCATACATGTTATTTTTAGTCCAAGCTTCTTTTGTTTGGAACTAAAATCCTTAATGCATGGGATAGACTATGCAAATTGAGAAAGCATGAATTTGGGCTCATGAAACAGAGAAATAAAAAACATGGTGTCATTTACCAAACTTTACTCATAGGTTATACTGTGTGTCTACAAAAGAGCGTCATTCTCAACTTTTCCCCTTCTATGTAATTCTACTCAGACCACAATAAACTTTCTTTTGGAGAAGTCGACACACACACACACACGTCTTTACCATTGGTCTTTACTCACGCACACACGCAGCGTCGCTCCTCGTGTGCTGTCCTGTTGAAAATTTCCCGGGAAGCAGCAGTCGACTCGACTTGGCATTATTTGTTGCAGCTCTTTTCACGAGAAGGATATCTTACCACGTGCGGAGTATTTTCGTTTCTTATTAATTTCGTATGAAAAGTGGCGAAGAGGGAAAGACGTGGAAAGTTTTTTTTTGTTTTTTTGTTTTCTCTCGGGTACGCGCACAGCGATTACTAAACACATGAGCGTCTCTCGTGGTACACCTGGGACGGGGTGAAGTTTTCGTAAAAATGTCGCAGAAACTTTCCAAAAGAAGGAAGTAAACGCTATGGAGCTGGACAATGCCGTATACTCCACAAAGAAATACATTGGAGTTTGGGGGTAAGTTTATAATCTACATAAATATAACATTTACCCAACTTTTGAGTAACTTTTTACACGTTTTCATGCGCTCGGATGGATGAAAGCTGTACTAATTAAAATAGAAAACAATAAGAAAAGATTAAATGAAATAGTTTTACTGTTAATAGGTCGAGTGTCATGAAAACATAGCCTGTAAGTCTAGTGCGATAGACATAGGCTGTAGGAAACGCGTGTCCTGGTCTCTGCTGTCCTATATCCTGTATTCTGTCCCCTACATGGGACTCTCTGAACTGAAGTGGGGACATACATCACTGGTGCTCTCTTGCTCCCTCTTACGACGTTTCTGCCTCATAGTGTCAGCTGTTTGGCTAAAGGTCCCATTGGGAGGTAATAAATCTTGCATCATGTTGAAAAGTTTGTATTTGGAAAACCAGACAAGACTCTATAGGAGACACGTGTTATGTAAGAGCTGTGAATCGAGCATGAAGAAACTTTGAACTGGTGAATGTGTCAGCAGTTGGCAAGTACTGAAGGGAAATCTACATGTCTCACAGTTAGCCTGCAGATTTCATTCATGTTTTCCCAATAAATTGATAAAGCCACAACAACTAATACTGGTTTAGCAAATGCGTTAGGCTTATGAATTTATTCATTTTAGACAGTGATTTAAAAACGTCATTCACGTCAGGTAGACACTTGGCCCGCTGTGTGATACTGCTAATTTTACCCGCAGTCCTGTTGAAAACAACTATTCTTTTGGAATTATGTATTAATTGACCAATCTGCCAAAGTCCAACTACCATGATTTAACCACTTTACAACTGGACATTGAATAAGTTCACACCTGCCACATAATTTTTTTTTTTTTTTTTTTTTTTGCTTTGTTGCTATAGTTTCTATGATCAGAATCAGATTTTGTAAATTCTGGTGATGTTATCAGTTCATTCACACTGAACACATTTTCTGACTGTTTAAACATTCATCCGACTGAATAATGGTATTGTCCAGCATTTGTAATAGTCAAATTACAACTATTGTGAAAATTTAACCAGAGCCCTGGACACCAGACAACAGTCATGGAATCAGTTCTAACAATGTCACTTCTGCTTTTAGAGGTTCTTTCATGAGCAAAAAATCATGAATATGAATTAGAAATGTTAGTGTAAGTAATCGTAATTGTATGCATGAATTGGGTTTATTACCCCTGTTACATTTTATTGACCAGCATATCATGTTTTACATACTTGTAATATTTCTTTTCTTGTTTTGATATAGGAAAATCCACATTTGTCTGGCTATACTTTGTTATGGCTGCATCCCAAGACTAACCGAAGCACAAGGTGGGTAATGTAGATTTTTTATATGGTTAGTGGATTACATGATATTTGTTTTATTTAAAAAATAAAGAAATCTCTTATTCAAAGTTGTGTTTCTCACCCTCTGTTTTCTCAAAAGGCTTAGATGTCCTAAAGCAACTTGGGCTTTGTGGGAGCCTTGCAGGGCTGGCATCTTCAGGCAGCAGGCTCAATGGAGTCGCCCCCTGTAGGTCTGGAGTTCTCCTCACGGCACAGACGCAGGTCCAGGCTCCTGTGAACACTGTTTTCCCCGCGCCTTTCAATCTCAGCAATCTCTCACTGGTCTTCACACTCTCGGTTCATCGCATCAACAGCGCATTTATTTTCTCTATTTTGTCTAAGGAAAGGAAAATGCAACTTGGAGTTCATCTTAATCCTGGAGGGCTTTCTGTCCATGTGGGGCAAAGAAGTTTGGTTAGTTTTGACTATGATGTTTATGATGGCCAGTGGCATAATATAGCTGTGAATATTGAAGGCCAGTTGGTGTCTTTGCTCACATTTTGTGGAAAGAAAAACATGTTTTTGAAACTTGATTCTAAAATAGTGGAGGCCATGGATCCAGAAGGTTTATTTTTTTTGGGAGATAATAAGAATGGTGCATCACCATTTGAGGGAGCTATCTGTCAGTTTGACATCTATCCCTTTGCGAAGGCAGCACAAAACTATTGTGATCATTTAAATGAACAATGTCAACAAACTGATGCATTTCAGCCTTTGTTTTCACCCCTACTCCCTGTTGATACAAAAAGAACTAAGATTTTAGCTGAGCCTTGCAGAGATTATACTTTTCGTAGATACGCAAGGACTACAGTGGTTTCAACTGACTACCCTAAAATGTTGAACACAACATTTACACATCAGGATATAAATACTCCTACATCAAGTTCTGTAACTGTTTTGTCTCCAGATCATCATGGATCAGACATGTCTCTTAAATATCATATACCTCAAACACTGAATGATAACCCTGGAAACAGCTTCAAGGAGGGACAACAAGACCTGTCTTTACAATCAGCTTTTTTTGCATCACCAAAGGAAACGCATTTATTTGAAACCACTACAACATCTTCACCCGTATTTGTCACAGATAAACCCCAGCCTCAGACTACAACATCGTTAAACAGTGCCAGCGGGCAGGAAGCCAAAGCCACGCCCCCTTGGCTCAACTCACCACCGGCTGCAGATGACTCTCAAACACTTGATGTGGAACCCACTCAAGTTTCTCTGTTAGTGGGACCACCAGGGCTGCGGGGAGATCCTGGATCCCCAGTGAGTGTCTATCACATGCTGTATTTTTCAGTGTTAGAATGATCTAAATATACAATCTATGGCATTGTATATTTATATTCTTGGCAGTTATGTAAATGTATTATAGCTGATATTTTATCTCACTGCTAACAGTTTATGTGCTCAAAAAAATTACCTTTTGCATTTGGATTTATTCTAGCAAATATAAGTAGTACACTGTAAACTTATAGTAATCTAGTATTGATCTCCCATAAATGATTCAGGACCATGGACAGTGCATAGTTGAAGAGAGCCAGAAACAATAAAGTGTAGTGTATTGAACCGACCCAAATCTGACCTGTGATATAGGGGCTAACTATACATGATCTGGCTTCACTATTAAGAATTATTAAGACACTATTATGATTCAATAATTATTCATGATTATTGCCATCTTAAGTATACTTTTGATAAGATGTGATAAAGATGGCAAGCGCACCAGGCTGACAACCATTCACACTGGTTACAGCCTGAGTCAGGAAAAAATTACATTTTGAGGATTTTTAGCAAAGTCAGACATCTCAGATCGACCTTCTCATTAGATGTGACCTTTCAGAGCTGTGTTAATCCATGTATGAAATGACTTGAAAGTTAGCTGATGCCCATAATGAACACACTCAGACCTCCCTGCCAGTGAGTCAGACTTACAAAGCTCTAGTGGTTGAGGATGAAACAAAAAACACTGTTCAGAGGGACAGCTGCAGAATCCTCTAACAAGAAACTGTCATGTCTGCCAGCATTTCAACTCATAGGCCTTTGTCTGAGAATTTACTGGAGGATTAGAATATTGTGGTGTATGATCTTTAGTTTTGTATAACATTTTTAATATGACATTTTTATTATAGGGTCTTCAAGGGTTTCCAGGGTTACCAGGAAAGCCAGGGAAAAGAGGAGCAGTTGTAAGTGGTCTCTCAGAACCTTTCACGAAAATTATGATTTATATCATAAATATAATTGTATTAAATCAGTTTGGTAGATTGATTATGATGATGATGATAATCAGTCTGAGGCTCATTTGTAAAACTGAGAACAACATTAAGCCCCAAATTTGTTATCTGTAAAAAAAAAAATTCAATGTAGACAAGTCTGTGTCTCCAGTGATTTTGATGGATTGCTGTGGTGCTGTCTTTCATTTTCATTTTCACTGTCAGTGTGCGACTGGGAGGTCCCAGTGGACAAAAACAGATGTCCAGATGTTTGGAAACACTATAATCTTTAATATAAGATCATTTTAAAATATCTTTACCAACTTCTCTATTTACATTTTAGCACTGATTTAGCACTGATTATGTCTATTTAAACCTGGAAATCTCACAGTCACCACCAGTCATAATCTATCTGACTATGAGTCTTTACACTGTGGTATTGAACGAAAGTTCATTAAAGCCATTTTAGATTATATCTGTAAACTGACTAGACTTGATCCAGTGGTACACCGACCTGTGCAGTTAATTCCTTATGCAGCTCCTGTTGTGGTGTTTTAATTTAACAAACTCCCAAAGATTTATGGAACCTTTGTTTGAGATTTCTTCAGCTGAACACCGTAGAACAGTTTTATTACAAAATGTGCCAGCCTTACCACTAGGCAGAAAAGCAAAAGTAGCATTCCAACTGATTAAAATGGATAAAATTGGACCTTGTAAAAAAAATAAAATAAAAAGTTAGGAATATACCAAAATCTTTGTTGAGGTAACTTTTAATGTTCATTACTTTTTGTGGAAACCACAACATAGACATTTTAAGACATGTTTTAGTGCATTTTTGATGAATTGCAAACATTAATACTGTCACAAAGAACAGGTCTGATTAGATATTTTAACTTCTTGGTTTTATATATATATATATATATATATATATATATATATATATATATATATATATATATATATATATATATATATATATATATATATGTATATATATATATATATTTTTTTTTTAAACTTCTTTAACTCTATAGGACTGGTTAGACCTATAGAGGGCACTAAAATGGGTTCTAATTATTAATCCAGTTCTACAGTGTATAATTTTGTTTGTATTGAAACCTAAGTATTGGCAGTAGAATTTTAATCCTTCCATTTCCATATGCTGGGAATCTGATTCTGATTCGGGTTTGGATAGGGATTGTGTATATATGCAAATGTGGTTCCAATATGGATTACCTAGTTAGTTTACAATTGCTGGTTGATTTTGGTAAAAGATTTATTGTTTGGCTTTCAGAATATCTCATCTAACTACATCATAAATCAGTGTGTGTGTGCAAAGTCACTCTGAATTATGGTATGACATATGAGTGGCCTTCACTTTGTGGCACTCATGAAACCAGTGGAAAGTGAAGAGGAAAATCAGAATCATAAGTCATAACACAGAAAGACAGGTGGATGATGGAGGCAGGGCTTGTGCTCTGTAGACTATTACAGACAACCTACAACCTATGACATTACAGCCCCAGTGCAAGGAATGCCTGTGAGAATATCTGTCAATCTTACTCACATTGTTTTACAGGGTCCCTATGGTCCACATGGAAGACCTGGCCCCACTGGCTGTCCTGGACTAAAGGTAATAATAATATTGATACACCAGATAAACATTTTTAAACATTAAACAAGGCCCTACAAGCATGCCGTGAGTAAAGCAGGTGTGTCAGCTCTCTGAGAACTTTACACAACCTTGGCCAGGAAGAGTTTGACACAGAAACCTCTAACAGACTGTTCTGACATAGAAAATTCACATGAAAACGTTCTAGTATCCAACATATTCTCTTTCATGTAACAGTCCATTTGTGATGTGTCAAATTTACTGCTTGCCTAGAGTTCATATGTTACACATGATTAATTACTGTGATGTTCCCTTCTCATGTATGAACAGAGACTGATCAACGATCTGATGTATTTTTTGGCCAGACTTAATTTGAAAGTCTGTGATTTCTTGACTGCGCTCTCTCTCACACTGCGTAGTTAAAAGTTAAATACACAAGTCCCAGAGCCTGAAAAGGCAAAAGAATGTACAGAGTCGGTCCCCCATCTCTCCTCTCTAGGCCGGTGTAAACTAAAGCACCAAAGGGCATAAAAGGATTGGTTTGTGTAAATACTTTGTCTCATGGCCAATAGAGGGCGAGCTGCTCACTGTGAGCTTTTGTGGGGATGTCACTGATGTCATCATGTGCTCTTTTATCTTACAGGGAGAGAAGGGAGACCCTGGACTGTCCCCCGGTCAGGCCTCCAAAGGACAAAAAGTATGTGTTCATTCATCAATATGTGATGTACTCTATATTAGAGGTTTTATGAAAATTTCTGTTAGACAGTGGTTTTAATGCCAGATATTAATGTAAACCCTCTAGGGAGAGCCTGGTATTATGCCCATCCATGGAATACCTGGCACTGCTGGAAGAAAGGTAGGTTCTGTGAGAACCCTAAACACGCTATACGACACTTCTGATTTTAATGAGTTACAGCTTTACATTCAATACAAATTAAATCAAATGTTTTTTATATCAGGGGCAGAAAGGTTACTCTGGCTCACCTGGGCTTCCTGGTGAACCTGTAAGTATTTTATCCAGGTCAGTTATATTGTCTACAGTAATGCACATTAAATATACTCAAGATTTTGTTGTATAGTAACTAACCAGAATGTGTTTTTCTCAAGTTTACCCTTTGTTTGTATGCACAGGGTGAACGAGGAGAAGAAGGAAGTGATGGCGCCAAAGGCTATCCTGGAAGGCAGGTGCAGTAAATCTAGTACTAAGATGCTTGTTATGGACCACACACATTCTGTTACAAACATTAAGACACACACACATAAACTATCAGACTTTATTGGTAATTTAAACATTTCATCTTGCATTGACAATGCAAGTATTAATGTTTATTAAGATCACCATTAGCTTCTGCTCTTCCAAACATCTTTGTGAGATTGACCCTCAGATGAAATGTTTCTCCAGAGGATTTAAGTAGCCCACCTCTGTGTTAGAATGAAAAGAAACACATCATGAAGCAACATTAATTAAAATAACTCAAAGATGCAGAATAAATTACTTTACTTTGTTAAGAAAATGAAAGGCATTGTATGTGTGTGAAGTGAGTGTCTTTGAAAACTATATGAAAATCAGTCTATTAATTGACTAAAACAAAGTTGCTGAGTATTTCTAAAGAATTTCATATAAGTTCCTATATATGCAATATTCAGCTCCCACTACCTTTTGCTGAAGGCATAGTAGTACCATTGAGTCAAAAGAAATTATGTTATTGCTTTGTTCTGCTGCATTTAGGGTTTACCTGGGCCTTTGGGGAAAACTGGACCAAAAGGAGTCCAAGTAAGTCTATTCAACAAAATTTTGTATATATTGCATTCTGTGAATAACCATTGTTTTTAGGGGTGGGTGAAATGCCGATACACATATTTTATTTTTATTTTTATCACAGTTCATATAATAAGTATCTTTTCATCTGCCATTAAGGGGTAAATAAAGCTATCAACTTCTTCTGGGAGTTCACATTTCACTGTGATTGGTTAAATCCACCTGTCACTGTCCACCTGTCTGAGTAGTGTATGATGGAAGCTGACAAATAGGAAGAGAGGATGGGGATAAGTGAGAGCTGCATTAAACAGAGAGGCACTAAATTGTCACAGAATCAGATCACAATTTTAGATTTTTTAATTGCCATCTTGCTCACCCCTTTCTTCTCACATTTAGGTCAATTTCCTTCATGGCCGGTCCATCGGAGATCCCTGATGTGAGGGTATGTGCCCTTGGACTACATCGTGGAAGCCAGCACCATGCAGTCCATGGGCATATACACTTTCCTCAAGGCCTTCCTCTTCAACACGCATGTTCAGCAATGACAGTATGTTAGCCAAGATGTTATACTTTACTAAGGGTAGGTCTGTCCCGATAACAAATTTTGAAGTTTAACATATTGACAAAAACCTAAGAGCAGATTTAAACTACAAATTCTAAATTTTAAATGTATAATATTGTAAAAAAATGCTAAGTCGATATGGTAATTATCGTGACAGGCCTAACTAAGGGTGCGTTCATACACATTCACCACATCAAAATGGAGTTAATATGATTAGATTCAGGACCTGGACCACGCCTCAGCCTCCTCTCCAGATAACCACAGCTAATCTCCAATCCATTTTGGATTGGAGATTATACCCCCACAGAGACATCACATCTATCTGCCCTGAATAAACATCTTTATCATATTCCATTGTTGTGGAGTGGTCCTTGCTAGTGAAACTAGGACTTAACTGTGATTTAACTCAGAATGACATCTGGACTAGATCAGGACTAAACCAGGAGTTGAACGGGACCAAACCAAGTCTACATTAGGACTCAAACTGGGCCCAGACCAGCACCAGAGACTGATATGAATGCACCTTAAAGAAAATTATTGGGACTAGTAGCATTTCATTATTGTCACTCAAACACATGTTCTTAGAACTGATCTATGAAACTCTCAGTTATGTATGTTTTTATTCATCCTTTTAGGGCCACATTGGTATTCCTGGTCATTTTGGCTTTCCTGGTGATGAAGGTGACAGAGTATGTATTATTCAGTAGGGAGGAGAGAGGTGATTGAATATTGAGTAGTTTAGAATAATTAAAGTGTAGTTTTTAAGAGTATTCAAATAGCAGTGCCTGGTAATAACTGCAGTTATTATGTATTACAATGTCCTCTTTTTGTGTTTTAGGGAATTCCAGGAGTTCGTGGGCAGAAAGGGAACACGGGTCGGCCGGTAAAGACATCATACACCATTACTGGCTTTGCACATAAAAGCATGTCACAAAAGTCAAGTGCAAAATATGTCAATAACATTATCAAATAAGATTGCATTTTGTCAGTGTCTTTTTTGAAGCTAAGCTTCTAGTATTTAGCTAGTACCATATTAAATTATGCATAACTTAGTGGTATCCACTGATGCTGGGGATGGATTGTTTGTCCATTATACCATAAGTAGAACATTAGTAGCAGATTACTTCACGATGACACTCTTCTTAGTGCACACAAAGCATGTATCAGCTCTGTTCTGTTCTGTGTCCTGTGTGCTCTTTGTGGATGAGTGCTGAGCTGATGTGGTTCACTCTGTTGACCTTGGCTCTGTTACAAACTCATGTTCAGTGTGTGGCCTCTTGTTCTGCCTTTCACAGAAGAATTAAGAGCAGCTGTCAATGGAAGCACTGCATCAGCATTTCCTAGCGCGTTATACTGCGAGTGTTTAGGCAAATGCAGGTGACTGGTTTGTGAGGGGCTGTTCAATGACTCCACTACAGTGTGTATCAACATAAATGCTGGGAATGCATGCTTCAGAACAAAGAACCCTACCGCTTCCATCAGTTTTATATTGCACACTATATACACTATATATTTTCATAATTAACGTTTTTTTATGCCTAGGGGTTTCCTGGTGACATTGGGATAAGGGGACCTCCAGGCCCCGATGGAAATCCAGTGAGTCAATGACGCAATTTCATTTCAAATATAAATCAAATAGATTTTGATGTTTGATATAAACACATATAGGCTGGAATCAATGGCACAATATAGATTTCAGTAATAAGTAATTAGTATTGAATAAGCAGATTCCTTTTTATGTTAGACCATCTATGTATCTATTTTTAGACCAATAAAAAAATAATCAGCAGACACATTTCTGTCATTTTAAATTTTAGGGTGAAATGGGAGCTGATGGTCCTCCTGGGATCCCTGGTGTTATTGTAAGTACTTTTCACTCTAAAATATATTTCAAATCAAAAAACATACAGTACAATACGAAAACACCACAACACAGCAATAATATATTATGCCTGTTGGCAGGGAGACCTTGGTTCTGTTGGCACGATGGGACCACCAGGACAAGTGGGACTCAAGGTTTTTCATGTGTGCAGCTATACAGATTTTAATGCAGTCTGATTCATAGTAGTTCACGGAAGAAGATAAATGCATTGCTATTGTATTTTTTATTTTTGGAAATAGTAAACTTATGCAAACAAATAATAATGTTTTCCTCTTAGGGTGTACCAGGAAACCCAGGAGAGACAGGAATGAAAGGTGATAAGGTGATCTTCTTAATGGTGTTTGGCAGTGTGTTCAGAATTTGATTTATGGGAGTAAAATCACACAGACCTTGTAAGGTAACAGAGATTTTCTTTTTTCAGGGGGATCTTGGCTTACCTGGAGAACCTGGAAAAATTGGGTTTCAAGGTGATAAGGTATTTTATCTTTGTCATGTAAAATCATGTCACATATTTCATAGTTAATATCATACTTTGTGGTTTTGTGTTAGATTAAACCGTATTATGTACTTCTACAGGGTGTTCTAGGCTCTCTGGGGCCAAAAGGTGAACCTGGAAAACCTGGACCACAGGTACCATGTTTTAAAATATATAAATGATACAATTTGTGAAGTTAGGGAAGACTGTAAAAAGTGGAACTGACTGAACTGTGTTTTTCAAAGTTTTGTGTAAATGAATAAATTATATTATTCATACTCTGTGTCATTTTATTAGGGCATACCTGGTGACAAAGGCCCTCCTGGTTTTCCTGGTGCGTCTGGACAAGAGGTAGGTTCAATGTTAATTCATATTTGCGTTAAACAGTGTTTACTGTATATCATAATACCAATAAGCATGATGAATAGTTATAATAATAATTATTATATTCTTATCAAAGGGATTTCCTGGAGATATTGGGCCCTCAGGTCAAAATGGTCCACAGGGACTCAAGGTTGGTACTTGAAAAGTTAAGGGTGAGCATGTTGTGCTTTTTGCGAGAAAAAAACATGTTACACATGTTAATATGTTATTCTTGTGAATTTTGCCATATTATAAATGTAGATAATAACACAAACTGCCTAAAACTGTGTTTCACAGGGCATTAAAGGAACCAGAGGTTTACCAGGTCCAAAAGCAGTGCCTGGATTTCAGGTTGGACAAATTACTAAAAATGACAAAAATACTACTTCCATTTTAACCGTTTCTTCTTTCTGCTCCAGGGTGATGATGGACCTGTTGGCCCTGTTGGACTTCCTGGACAGATAGTAAGTGATAGTCCAGTCCATGGGTCATTTGACTGGCATAGTGACCTAAGTCACATAGCCATTTTTCTCATAAGGTTTTAGAGTTTTTAATTAACCATTCTGAAGATCTTTTCATCAGTAATTTCTGTTTAGGGCCGACCTGGAAGACAGGGATTCGCTGGACTGACAGGACCAGATGGACTCAAGGTCAGCTGTTGGAGATGTACTTTTGGATCATATTCATCTTAAATTTTCCCTCTCCTGGGTACCAAAAGGGCTTTACATTAAGGAACCACCATTAAGGAACCACCCACCCTTTCAAACACACACACATACACACACATTATGCCCAGGTGAGAGCTTGTTAACACTCTACCATTGAGTTTCAGTTTAAAGTTTTTTTTTTCCAGTAAACCAAACCAAAAATAATCTTCATGTCATGATACTAATCTCAGCTGCCTTGCTGTAGGGTGACTGTGGCAGAACTGGTGAACCTGGACAACTTGGCGAAAGGGTAAAAATATTTTCTTTTTTACAACACAAGACCCTTTAAGAACAAATACACATGTTTTTATTCCTTATACCACAGGGACCGGTAGGTCTTACTGGGCCTCAAGGGCTGACAGGTCTTTTGGGGGAAAAGGTAAAATTATGATTATCTTTTGCTTGTACACAAATGTTTGTGTAATATAAGCTGACAAACCCTGATTTTACCTGATTGTAACAATGAAGTATAGAGAATCCTTTTGGTATGGCTCATTCACATTATGTCCTCTCAGGGTGATCGGGGAGAAGTTGGTGCCTCAGGGCCACCAGGAGAACAGGGGTCAATGGTAGGGAGTTTGTAGCCAGTTTGTAGTTTTTTTCTTAAATGCAACGTCTTGATGACCAGTGTTAATCATATCTTCCACAGGGTCATGTGGGGCGTCTGGGGAACATTGGTGAGCCTGGCCTGCAAGGAAACCCTGTAAGTGACTAATGATCTATAACATGTAAAAAAGTGTCACATTTAATTGGGGGGAATGGTCAAGTATGCTGAGTAAATCTTAAAAATTCATTTAAAGCAGTTTTTTGACATAGTTATGATTATATGAAAACAGGGGCCTCCTGGTTCTCGAGGATGGAGAGGCATCAAAGGACTCAAAGGTATAATGGTAAGAAGTTGTCTTCTGTCGTTCGCATATGTGCTTTTAATATAAATGAAAATTTTACTTTCACATATCAATAAAAGAAATCTCATGCTTTGTAGGGTCCAATGGGACCTGATGGACAAGTGGGAATAAAAGGATTTATGGGTGAAAAGGTATGCACATAATAAAATATAGTAATTATTATATTAATATTTTTTCCACTTTCTTATTAAGTACAACTGAAATGAGAATGATTTGTTAATGAGCCAATGCAATGTGGGCTTTAAAGGTCCTGTATTACGCACAATTGACTCTGGTGAGCTTTAAGCCATTTTATAATGTTGTTACCTCAAAAATATATCTTCAGTTGTGTTTTGTTTCATTCACATTTGTTTGAGTAATCCTGCATTATTAGTCTGTCTACATCTCGAAAGCTCAAAATGCTCCGTTCCACTTTGTGATGTCAGGAAGCAGTAGTTTTCAAGTTAACTCTACTTTTACCTTTTCTTCAGTAATTCCATGGCTGTAATTATCAAAAGGATTCTAGGGCTGTACGGAGTTTAAAAACACAGTGGAGAACTTTCTGTATTGACGCATGACATCACAAGGTGGAACAGAGTGTTTTCTGTTTGAAAAAAGAACTAACCTAACCGAAACTAAATATGCTGGATTTGTGTGTTAAACGTGTGAATGAAACAAAATAAAACTCCAGGTATGTTTGCCTTGAGGAAAAAAGATACATCAGAAAATAGCATAATATGGACCCTTTAATTATTTGAAATACTGTCCTATGTCATGTTAACAATTAAACAGTGCACTAATTCAACTACATTTTCAGGGCTTTAGTGGTCCACCAGGAAAATGTGGCCTCCCTGGGGAAATGGTAAGATAAATTGATTAATTTTTAACTAGTGCTGGTATTTTTGTATTAACTCATATCTGAAACAGAGTCACATGTTTATTTATGTTGCATTTGGCAGGGCAAGCTTGGAGAGCCTGGTGAAAGTGGACCTAAGGGATATCCTGTAAGTAACTGAGACAAATATTTTTTTCCTTGTATCATTATTATTTTAAATATTCAAATTATAGGGCATTCCTGGACCTTCTGGATCAGTGGGAGAAAGAGGAATAACAGGAAACACAGTGAGTTTGTTGACCTGCTTGGATTGTGAGAAGGAATTTCATTAGATGCATTCCCTTGTAATATAATTATTAGCATGATTGATTTTTACACACTGAAGGACATGGCTGTGGATAACACATTACATTTCTTCTAACCTTGTAATGATATTCCTGCCTAATCCCTGTAGGGGGCAGTAGGACCACCAGGAACAGTGGGGCCTCTGGGGGAGATGGGGCCGAGGGTGAGTTTGATCACACTGTGAGTTCCCTCTGGATCGTACATTATCTCTGAAAACTGATGATGTTCTGTGTTTCAAACAGGGGCAGCCAGGGAAGGTGGGAGAGAGAGGGAGATCAGGGGAGCCTGGGGAAAAGGTAGAGATTTAAGTATTATTACTAAGAAAAAGAGGAAATAATTTTCTTCCCACAGTTGTAGTTTAATACATAATGTTTTGTGCTCTACAAGGGTGACATTGGTTCAGCGGGATATACAGGAGCTCAGGGTATGACTGGTCACAGAGTGAGTGGACCTTGTGAAAGTGATGATAAATAATTGTACTTGAAAAAGTTTTACAGTTTTGTCAATTAAATCTCTGTCATGATACACACTTTTTAATTTGGACAGGGTGAGCAGGGCCTTGATGGAGAGAGTGGATCAAAAGGACCAGATGGCTTAAAAGTAGGTACAGTTAGTTTATAGTGGTTGTTCTACTAGCCCTTTTTGTTTGCATAAAACATATACTAGTATGTAAGCAAAGGCTTTATTATTACACTGCATAGATATTATTGTGTGGAAGCAGCTAACTATTCGTGACTTAACTCAGATAAATATGGGTTTGAATTAAAACTTTTATATGATGGTTATTTCTTCTCCTTTGCCCAGGGTGAAAAGGGCCATTCTGGATCAGAGGGTGTAAAAGGAGAGCGAGGTGAGACTGGACTCAAAGGGAAAGAGGGAAGCCCAGGGCCTCTGGGATTGGTCGGTGTGAGGGTGAGTTTAAGCTGCCAACCTCAAAAAGATTTCTAAACCCAATTAAAGAAAGTTATTTTTCTTTTCAGGGTCAGGAGGGGAAACCTGGCACAATTGGAGAGAGGGGAAAAACAGGAGTGAAGGTTTGTAGCCCTATTACTCGTGACTCAACACTTTTAAAAGACCAACATTTTGCATGTTATTTATAATGCCCCTTGAGTGGTATTTTGTTTCATTTACATACATTGAAATCAAGCATGTTCACTCTCCAACATGACCATAAGCATATATATTTTCCCCATACTCATTCTGGTGGTTTTAGTGTTCAAATTGACTTATATATTATACTGACTTTTTTTTCTTATATAAAATATACTTATTAAATTGAAACATAAACACTATGGTATCACAGAATGTTTTAACAAGCTTGAATAAAGCATAACACTTATTTAGTAATTTTGCATGTTTAATGTTCCACTTAACATCTAAAGGGATGCCAAGGTTACCAAGGTCAACTGGGTGAGACTGGACAGTCTGGGGAGAAGGGGCAAAGGGGGATTCTTGGACAGAAGGGGAGCAGAGGAACCACAGGGCCAATGGTAATATTATAAAACTTCATTCACAATAAAGTAATTGATTGTTAGCAATTATAGACCTTGTTCTTCATATACAGGGTCCAGTAGGGTTGAGTGGAAAAGTAGGCGATATGGGCATACAAGGATTGGGAGTAAGTAAATTACAGTACAGCATGTTTTGGTTATTAAATTAAACCATGCCACTGTGATTATTTTCCTTTAATTATAAACCAAGCCAATCTAGGGTGCCTGTTTAAACTCTAATGATGAGTTCAGACTGTGGCAACACCTCTAATTGGATATATTTGTATTTGAGGGCAGGCGCTTGAAGCTTGTTGACGCACATAGAATTTCACCAAAAGTAATTTTTTTTTCAAGATGTGCCACATGAGCGTGTGATATGCACTGCAGAAATGTTGAACTAGACATGCATCTCCCATCTCTTTTGCATGTAAACCCATTGCCCCTGTTGCTGTGGTCTGAATGCAGCATGAATCTTGTCAATGTAATTTCTTGCACAGGGTCGTATGGGACCAGAGGGCCCAATGGGACCTCGTGGGCCAAAAGGTGAAAAGGTAGAGTATTTTATTTGTCAAAATTGAAATGAAATGGATTTGATTGGACAACATAAAAGTTTTTGTTGCTCTCACATTATTTTCATAATCTCTAATTAGGGTGAACAAGGAGAGGACTGTACAGTTGAAGGCCCGGCTGGTACTCCGGGTGTCAGAGTGAGTGTTTTACTTGGGTTTATGGTTTGTTTTGGTTACTGTATGTGATTTTTATTTTTTTTTTACCATTCAGGGCTCTGTTGGAGACAGGGGAGAACGAGGGGCATCTGGTGATAATGGATATGCTGTGAGTACAATTTAAATAACTTAAAGAAGTTTGGTATAAAATAATTTTTGTTTTACAATGTAGGGCCAAATAGGTGTAGAGGGAGAAAAAGGAGTCATTGGACCTCCAGGGAATCCTGTAAGAAACTATTTTAATGTTGTACTTTATCTCTAAAAAACTGAAATAAATGCACTGTTTATGTTCTGTTTATTCCTTAGGGCAACCCAGGGCCAAAAGGACAACAAGGAATAAAAGGACAAAAAGGTGATCAAGTAAGGACACATCTAAAATATCATTCAATTTTATTTTAGGGTTCGGGGCTTATTATGGAGTACACATTAATAAAAAAACAACAACAACAACATCTATTTCTGCAAAAGGGTCAGAAACGAAACAATGGAATGAGAGGAGCACCTGGACTCAAAGGTCAACAAGTATGTTCATTTTAAATTATTTATGAGTTAAGTGTGAAATCAATTTTATTGATGAAATGCCTGTTGCCCAGGGTCCAGGTGGGCTGCCTGGTCCACTGGGTGTTGTGGGCAGTGAAGGACCTGAAGGTTCACCAGGAGAAGAAGGACTTCCAGGAAAAAGTGGAGGAAGAGGTATAAAGGTGATGTAGACTTCAGCCCATGGACATATTGCCTGGGCTCTTAAATTATTTTAATGAATAAAATATGAATTACTGAAGATGTTGTTCAGATGTTATGTTAAAAAGAATTACACAAAAACGTTACTGTCTTAAATACTTGTTTAGGGGGAGCCAGGAGATGATGGGGAGGTGGGATTGCCAGGTCACCCTGGAAACCAAGGTAAAGATGGTTCAATAGGACCTTCTGGAATACAAGGCTCCACTGGACCAAAGGTGAGATGTAAGACCTATAATAGAGCTTAAAAGTTAACCACGGATGTGCTTTATTCAGGGAGAAAGAGGTCTCCGTGGCCAATTTGGGGGCATAGGAAAGAGAGGTTCTGTTGGAGGAGTGGGATCACCTGGAAAACAAGGTGCAAAAGGAGCAAATGGACAACCTGTTAGTAACATACTTGTCTTTACACATATTTGTTTGATACATGTATGTTTATAGTCTTTTTTGCATTAGGGGGATATCGGGGAGCAAGGGTATCCGGGTATCCTTGGTTTCTTTGGACCAAAGGTGGGCATACTTTTTTGACTCTCGATTAGACATCAATACAAAAATCAACTCTTGAACTTACTTTAGGGACCCCAAGGAGACATCGGTCCAAAAGGTATACACGGACCAAAGGGACCCAGTGGGCTGAGGGTAAGCTGAACACCCGTCAATCACAAATGCTCAATCACTTTTTTTTTTTACTTATGGAGAATAACATGTCCCACTGCGTTGAAGGGTATGGTTGGAGCTGTTGGCCCTGTTGGCATGACTGGCCTCAGCGGTCAGCCTGTAAGTACCTTCTAATCTAACCAATTTCATCCATTTCCTGTTCTTCGATTTTACTTTGATAGAGTGAACCTCTGTTTCGATTCCTCATCCCCAGGGACATCAGGGCGACAAAGGAAGTCAAGGAGACATGGTGCGTGGCAATGGTTTGATGAATCCTTAAAAGTGCACTAACTTTCTTTGTGGGGGTCTCCATAAATATGTTACTGCTTTACCTGGGATATCTGTCAGGCATTTAGTCAATTTTCTTACAAAACATATTCTTACTGTAAGTGCGGTTGCCTCTCAGATCTGTAATTGTGTAAATATTATGTTGTTTCCTCATCACAAACATACCAAGAGTTGTTTTTTGTTTAATTCATACATGTTTAACACACAAACCCTGCATAGGCTGAATTCTTCTCTCAGACAGAAAACACTGTTCCACCTTGTGATGTCATGTGGTAATACAGGAAGTGCTACACTGTGGTTTTTAACTCTATACCCCTTCACTAGAATCATTTGGATAATTTCAGCCCTGAAATTGTCAATCTCTACTGAACAAAAGTAAAAGGTAGCTCTTAACTTGAAAACTGACATCACAAGGTGGAACAGAGAATTTTAAGATTTGGAAATGTCAGCAAACTAATAATAAAGTGTTTGTCTGGTATGTTTTTGATGATGAAACAGCATTCACAAAAGTACCTTAGCATAATGTAGAACCTTTAAAAACATATTGTGAAACATTCTAGGCAAACCAGTAACAAGCAGGTTGAGTACGCTCCTTCAGAAAAGTTACATAGTGCAACTTTAAATGTGAGCACAGGGTAGACATTTACTATGGAGACAGCCCAGTCGATCTCCAACCTATGTTTGCCTTCAGTGTTTTCGTTTCCTATTGTGCCTGTCTGTTTGTTACTCTCACAATGACACTTAACAGCTGTGGAATTCCTGTCAGGGTGATGAATGTTGGCTGCATACTAAAGCTTTTAAGAGTTTTGTTTATTATTATATTTAGTTATAATTCAGGGGCTTACTCCTAAAATGCCAACAATCATGTAAGAGCATGCTGTGTTAAAATCGGATTTACTGTGGAAGAATAAGATATGGGAGGATTTTTTATTTCTTTTAAAGCCTTCAGCATTTTGAGAATACAGTATTATTTGGTGAAGGGGCCATACAGTCCTACCTGCTGTGCTATACTAGAGATGGAGGATGTGTGAATAGAAATGAATTGCTGTCTAATCCCTGATGATATGCTAGTTTGGTCATTTGGTCATATTGTAGTGCCTTTGTTAAATGCTAGTTTCCTTTTTCCACACCCTTATCTAACAGATCAGTTTAAAATTACCTGCAAAGAAAGCTCTAGTTCATTCTGAAAAACAATGCAAATATACTTAGTGTGCATGAATTCGTAAAACATTCATAATCCAGGCTCAGAGAAAATCCTGATGTGATTTTCTGGCATACCCCAGCCCTGACTGCACTGATACAATCTGTGCATATTATAACATTTCTACTGATTGAATTTAATTAAATACCCTTTGCCCTCTTTCCAGGGATTACAAGGCCAAGTGGTAAGTATTAAATGATATTAAGTGAAGGACACATGCTTTCTTCACTTTACATGCCATACTTTTAGGGATCACCTGGACCTCAAGGACCTCCAGGACCACCGGTATGTGCTTCTAATATGCGCTTCTGTTATTAAAAGTGCTTTATGTTTATAAGTTTACTGCCATAGAGTGGTTCATTCCATGTAAAGCATTAGCATCTCTATGGAAACAAGATGATGGAAAAATGTTACATGCAACTTTAATGTCACTGACTGAGACTTTTGAGTCATAAAATACTGTTTAAAAATATGAAGGAAAACACACCAGATTTCAAAATAGATTCTGTTCATGTATAATCTAGTCTATATTGATAGAGTGTTTATGCTACTGACAAAGTTGTTTATCCATGAATTCTATAGAATACCTAAAATGACCAGGCAAAGGTTGAAATGCAGCAATATTTTCTGTACTTTGCCTAAATGTTTTAAACATTCTATACAATGTCTAGGCAAAGTAGAGAATAATGCTTCATTTTCCAGTTTGCCTGGTGATCTGGTTGCCTGATTATTGCCTGGTTGCCTGAAACATATATTGTATAATGTATTTATGAACTTTCTCTTTGTCTTTTAGGGTCTGCCCAGTTCTGTCCTGTCATTGGTGAGTTACTTACTGCTAAATATTTGTGTAAAAAAATTGCCACATTCATTACTTTCTTTTATAGAAAAACGAGGCTCTTGGTATCACTTTAGAGATGATCATGGACTCATATGCATTTCTGAAATATGAGGTGTAATTTCTTTTATAAATATGTTAAAACATTAATACAAAGGGACAGTGACTAATAGTGACTTGCCCTGTCAGAACTATCATGGCAAGGAACGACCAGTGTTGGACCAGAGTACAGAGATCCTCCAGACTCTGCAGCATCTTAGCACTTTGATTCAGAGTCTAAAGCAGCCAGTGGGAAACTATGCCAACCCTGTAAGAATATGCAAAGACCTTTACAACTGTGAGCAAAAAATGAAAGATGGTAAGGGGAATGTGTGAATATATGCAAGTATTAATTTAGGAAGGTAAAATAACAATTATAACCCTTTAGGACGTTATTGGATTGACCCAAACCTTGGCTGTAACGCTGATGCCATTGAAGTTACGTGCAACTTTACTGCTGGAGGACAGACTTGTCTAAACCCCATCACAAGGTCCAAGGTCAGAATTATCATGATTTGATTATTTATTTATTTTTTGTATTTTCTTATAATTTGTCTGTTTTGCTTTGACAGTTAGAGATGAATGTAGGTCATATCCAGATGAATTTTATCCACCTCCTAAGTGCTGAGGCTGTGCAACACATTATCATTCACTGCCTCAATATCTCTGTGTGGGGCACTGGACCCTCTCTGCAGCCTTCAAACCACTCTGTCATTTTCACAACTTGGAATGGACAAAGAATTCAAGCTGGAGATCATCTGGAGCCTCTTGTACCCAGGGATGACTGTGGGGTAAGTAATAATAATCCAAGACTATTAATTTCAATTCCTTATTTTCATGCATACATACATAGAACATCTGTAAATTCAATATCATGTGATTCTAAAAGTACTATTAAAATTACAGATCAAGGATGGCCTCTGGCACCAGACACACTTCATTTTCAAAATGGATCCCAACTTGCTTCCAATTGTTCATGTGTTCAGTGCTGAAATAGCAGAAGCCAGTGCTCTCTTTCACCTGGAGGTTGGGCCAGTGTGCTTTCTATAGTGTGGAAAGTCACAGTGGAAGATCACAATGGGAAAATCCTTTTAAATTTACCTTGGACAAAATATGCTTGGACTGCTGAAAAAAACATTCAGAGATGGAGACTGGAACTGATTAATGGACAGTGTTTTGAAGACTGAAGCTCAAAAACAAAGCCATACATTTCTCCTTCAGAGCGAGGTTTCATGTTTTCTGTTCCACTTTCCAGCACTGTTTTGTTTGTGCAAAGGCTATACAATGTTATATAGCTTTTTAGTGGACACCTGTTCAGTTGTAAGCATTAAGACTGTAAAATAGAAGAATTTATAGATACACAATCTGTGGTTGTAAGGCCATATGAAGTCTGTATGGCCTCCTTATTTCTTTTCTAATACTTGAATGAAGTTGTTGGTGCTGAGACACTTATTCCATTACAATGGGATTAACAATGGGAAGCACCATTACAATGGGAATAGTAGATCTTGTACTAGAAATACTGATATAAACATTTTAGAGTATACTATTTATTTAAAGCTCCCCCCCGTCATCTGCCCCAACTCTGATTGTCTAGGGATTACACACTAGGTTTGGTGAATAGATACATTTGAAATGTTAACCTGACATAATATGAAGGATACCTGCTCACTTCCTTTTCATTTTAAAGTCTAACGCTGTGCAGTTGTAAATTTGAGATATACCAATATAAGAAACAAACAGGTTGTTTTAAATAGTGTATTAGTTAATGATTTCAGAACACATTATCTAGGACACATGGCATGACGGCCTCCATCTATCGGAAGATTCACACCAGTGATAAAACTCGCTGCATCTGATGCCAAGAAAGCAATGGTTTGGGCCACTTCATCCACCTCCCCGTGACGACCAAGAGCATGAGTTTGCTTAGCCTTGGCTAAAAACTGGTAAAAAACAAACAAAATAATAATAATAATAATTTTAAAAATAGACAAAAGAGAAACATCCTAAATAATCATTGCTTAGAAGTAATACTTGGAATTTGTTGATAATGAGATAACTAAAAAAATATACAGTAGATTAGGTTAAGTGAGGTGTTACCTGTGCATATTGTTCCTCGTCCAGTCCTGCCCTTTTATGAACCTCAGTAACTATTACACCAGGGCTGATAAGAGAAAAACAGAGGATTTCCATTAGAGCCTAATATATATTAAAAACATTTTATTATAATACTACACCTACCAAACTGAATTCACCCTCACTTGCTTTGGTGCTAGTTCTAAAAAGAACACAAACATGATGCAAGATGCATAGATGCAGTTCGTGGGTTAAACAAAAAATAATCAATCACATAGTTAATCATGATAACTTTATAGCATATTATTTATATATATATATACACACACACACACACACACGTATATATATATATGCTAATGAAGGTTGCAACTTGCATGGGGATAACACAATGGAAAATACAGTGTTGAAAATAATAAGAAAAGCCTGAACTCACCCAATGCTATGCAACGAGTAAATTGGTCAATAGCAGATTTGGATACACAGTAGGCCAATACACCTGGAAACTATCATAAACATGGACAGTTGGTTATATACTTCAATATTCATGTAGCCTAAGTATATATATAAAAAAAACAGCACTTACTGATCTTTGGCCATTGACACTCGATACATTGACAATACATCCTTTGGTCTTGATGAGATGAGGCACACACAGCTGAGTAAGGTGGTAAACAGACCTGGGAAGATGTTTTAAACATTTTGAGATATTTCCTTTACATTTTGACCCAAATGTCAAGGCAGAGACTTATCTGCAGTATTAGGGAAGTTACTTTGAAAAAATAAATTACTCATTACTAATTATTTGTTAAAAATGCAGTGCATTACACTATTTAGTTACTGCCTTAAGTAACTTAGTTGCATCATTTTGTTTTATTAAATTACATTTAAAAACAGATAAACAATAAATGAGTTGTTTAACCTGGCCTGAACCTGCTACAAGAGGCTTATCTTTGCTTATCTGTCAGCAGAAGTCATTTCTAGGGGTAACTATGGATTTTGTTAATAACTGTAAATTAATTTACATATTTTCATAGATTGTAGATTGCACTACAAAGTTACTTAAAAATGTAATTTAATGGGCCAACACTGCTTACCTCACGTTGATGTTCATGACCTTGTCATATTGAGCTAGGTCAGTGGTCTCGATAGTGCCCATGGCAAGAATACCAGCACTGTTCACCAGGACATCCAACCGGCCAAAGTGAGCAATAGTGTTCTCCACAGTCTTCTTAACTGTGTCCTCATCAGTCAGGTCTCCTGGCACAAGCAAAGGCTGCCACCAAAACAAGAATAAAACAAGTGGTTGCTAAAAGTACAAGGAAGAGGGTTGTGGTTATAACTCTGCATCAGAATATTTAAAGACTTAAACAGCAACGTTTGCAAAATTGCAAACTGCAATTTCTGCAGATGTTGTTTACAAAATATACCTGATTACAGTGGGGAGATTACAGTGGTATAATTATCTTTAACCTAATATTACTGATATTCAACCAAAACGAGAAAGCCAGTTAGTCACATATTTCAAATGCCATTCATACTGTACCTCTGCAGCTCCACAATCTTTACATTGTTGGGCGACTTTGGTTAAATTTTCCAAATCACGGCCATTAAGAGCCAGCAAAGCTCCAAGTTTTGCGAATAAAATGCCTGTACCAGCGCCAATACCCGAACTGGCACCTGTTATTAAAGCCACCTTTCCTTTCAGAGAATACACCTAATGGAGATAAACAAATAAAGGCTATTTGGATCGGAGTAATCTTCAAAACAAACACAAACATTGATAATTCACGTTTTCCCAAAACAAATAATACACCAACACTTACCTTACATGCCTCTTCTGTAGCCATGTTGAATGCGTTTGTAATGTATTTCACACTCCACAATAGTTTAGCAAAACCAGGATCAATCTAGGGCAAAACCAAAGAGCGAAGAGGCAAATCCAGTTTAAGGTCTCGCGTAATGTAAACTTTGTAAAGGCATGATTTGTCCACTACTGATGACGTGTACACACCAATGGCCAAAACTACTTTGAAAATGTATTTAATTAAAGAACATGAAATACCTACATTAAAATTTATTTTGTAACATATTCTATTATATGGGCCAAACAGGGTACTGTATTCTGAATACTGTTTAAGTTTTTAGTTTGTTATGCATTTCCTATCACAAATTAGAAGGAAAAACCACACCGTAAGAGTAATGTGTTATTCTGTTGAACCCAAAATTGTATGATCAAGTACCACAATATATCCCTTAGATTTAAGAAAAGAAACTGTACTCTGGATTCCACCATATAAAAGAGGACACAAAACGGGTATTTTGAATACGTATTAACGGTAAACGCATTTACACACGTGCACTTCAACCCATTATAAAAAAAAAATATATAATAATAGTAATGTTAACACCTATTTTAAAATTTAACACTGTAAGAAACATATTTTTCACCCACATAGATATGGTTATGTATGTGATTACCCATATTATATGATGAACAGGGCCGACACATAATTAAAAACGTCCCATTTAATACAAAACGATGGCAAATATTTACAAAATACATAGTGATGCACAAAACAGTCCTCAATGTGTTTATATGTCGAGGCCTAGGTCTACCCAGCAAAAGGGTTGGCATGAAGGGTCACATCTTTAATGCGAGTCTCTGTCAGTGGTCTGAAAGTCTTCTCATTAACAGGTAGTTTCTCCAACTCATCCAGTGTTTCAAAGCCATCAATAATTCTACACAAAGGCAAAGAAATTGTTATTAGTAGAGTAACAAAACCCACAATGATGCAAATACAATATTTACTTTAGGTTAGCAATAAAACAAAATTAAAATAATATTAGTCTGACAAAAACACAACTTTTATTATGATAGGATGAGTAGTTTAGAAACAATCCATGACTATATCAATTAGAATAGCGTAATAAATGGACACAACACTTAATAGCTGTGTGAGACACTGGAGGAATGGTACTGGGTAAAGTCATACACACTTTCCAAAAACAGTGTACTTCATATCCAGATGTGGTTGCTTGGCGTATGTGAAGAAAAACTGGGAGCCGTTTGTATTGGGTCCATTGTTTGCCATTGACACTACACCTCTGACGTTATGCTGAAATAATGAAAATAAGATGATTATGTTGGAGTTACACACAGTTATCAGAGAACAAATAGCCTTACTTTCAAGTGTTCACTGTACTCATCTTCAAATTTGCGCCCCCATATACTTGTTCCTCCTTTGCCTGTGCCTTTATCAAGAATATAATTTAACACATAACAGCAGTGTAATGTAAATGAAATTGATTTTGACAAATAAAATACCTGTAGGGTCTCCTGTTTGTACCATGAAGCCTTTTATGTTTCTATGAAAGCTACAACCATTGTAAAAGCCACTGGCACACAATGCTAAAAAGTTCTGTATAAAAGCAATAACTTATTAAAAATCACCATACACTTTCTTTGTACATTACAGTCCCAGTACAGAAAACTTACCTCACAAGTCTTTGGAGCACGCTCACAAAATAATTCAATCTTAATATCCCCCAGGTCTGTGTGCAAAGTAACAGCCTGTAAAAGAAAATGCGTTCACTGCTAACAATCATTTCATCAGTGCTAGGATATCTAGCATTCCTGATTCATAAAGGGGTGCTCAAAGGTTTAACAGACGCACATCCTTTCTTGTTTTTATTAATTTAGTGTAAATCTATGTGGATTTATTTTAACTTACCATGGCAAAGTAGTAAGAGCAAGCCAGAAAAAAAGTGACCGAATGAGTGCGTTCGATAAAAAAGTCCGTCCGGGAACTAATCAGCAGGAAGGTTCCTTTTGTTAAACGTGTATTATTTTCGCAACAGACGTGCTGAAGAGTAGACTATGAGCCATTTATACTACCGTAATTATAGTTATAATCTGGGTCAAGAGATGTGTAAACTCTAGTTGCATTTTACCTTTGTGGCACAAATTTACTTATGTTGATATGTGGAACTAATATGATAAATCGGTTCCGTCTAATGACCTCAAAGGATGACATACGCTGAATACTGTTTATTGATGGAGCACTGACCTACTCAGTGATGTTTGGCAAACATTAGATGGAGTAGACAGAACATGTACATAGCCAAATGGAACACTGGCATACATAACATTTTAAAATGCGCAGCTAAAATCAGTACCAAAAAAGATTGCTAGGAATGACACATATGTGTAAAGGAAAATCTATTTACATAGAAAAGTGGCCACACATGGGCCTATTATGACACAGCTAATATTACACACAACAGTACATTTCAATTAATACAACTAGTAAGCCTATACAAAACACAAATTAAGGGTATTTCAAGTGGTTCAATAACAAAACTTTTCAAAAGCAGTCTTTGTGTAAAAACAAATTAAAAAAAAAATATAAATATTGTATTAGTGTAAATGAAGAGAAAAACCAAAACAATTAATTGCAAAAAGTTAGTCCTTCCTGAGAATTATATGGTAAATATAAACACATGCATGCTAATAAAAATTCAATAAAACAAGTGTTTTAAAACACTGTCAAGGAGCAGACTAATGTTTTTGTAAATACAGTTACAATTTTCTACACAACTGACAAAGAAAATATGATTGTCTTTGGTAGGATATTGCTGATGGACTAAGATTATTTAGTTCCCTTGAACAATCCAAAACAGGAAAAGCACTGGCCACGTCACTTTCTTAATAACAAATTTTAAAAATGCATAATTAAATACTTATCCTTCTTCAAAGAGGAGCTTTAGTTAAAAATGCCCAAAAGTCACATTACTTTAAAGTATGTAACATTACACAAATCACAAATGGAAAAGTGCAAATCTAAGTTTTGCAATCATTTGAAATAAACCAACAACAAAAACATGTTTCATCAAGGGCAACACCACTAATTACCAAGTCTCAGGTTGTAAAATAAAGTTCACTGCCAGTAATTGAGCCATTGCTTACTGTACTCCTGAAAACAAAAAGTGAATGCAGTACAGTAAGCACATGTAAATTATACTTCAGAGTTACAGACATATTTTTTCTGAAGACATAACAGAGCACAACATGTAGCTTACATCCCAAAATCAATGACGAGATCCAAAAAAACAAAAAGCTGACTGTAAGTTACTGATTCCTAAAAAATCAAGAGTATCTAACAGGTGTGTTTGGCATAAAGGAATAACTCCACAGATCAGGTCTGTTTTCACTGACCTAGCATCTACAGCTCCAGATTGAATTATGTCAGATGCCCTGCCTTCTCTGACTCACACCCATTATAGGCTACCTGTGTGTTAGTGGTCTCTATTCTCCCCCCTGTACGTGCTCAGGCTGGCTCTTTGTCAGCCTTCCACAGCTGCTCTTTGACCTCAGTAGGCAGAGTGTTGAAGAGGTCCTCCTCCACCACCAGCCCGCTCCTCTTCAGCTGCCGGCATTCACCCAGCTCCACAGGCAGACACTCCAGACGGTTGGCTCGGAGCTCGAGCTGTGTGAGTGCGCTCAGCTCTCCAAACCGTGAGGGCAGAGAGTGCAGGCAATTGTTTCCCAAGTTCAAAGTGCGTAGCTTTTTACACTGAAACAGCTCATTGGGCAGATTCTCAATCTATAGAGAAAGAAGTAGACACAAACTATTAAGTATGAACCAATTCATTACAAAATACAAAAGATTAAGGCTCTACTCACTCTGTTTGCGGTCACTGCCAGGTACTGGAGGTTTTGGAGGAAGCCAATGTCTGCTGGAATATTTGTTAAGTTGTTATGGCTCAGGTCCAGGAAGCGCAGCTTGCGGCAGTAGAATAGTTGGCTTGGAATTTTCTCAATTTTGTTCCTGTTCAGGTAAAGTTTCTCCAGGTTGGTAAGTGTTCCGATCTGGATAGGGATGTAGGCTATCTGGTTGTACCAGAGCTTAAGGCAGACCAGGCGGTGAAGATGCTGAAAACTGATTATCTCCTCTATAGTCTTTAGGTTGTTGTCTTTCAGATCTAATTCCTGCAAATTGTGCAAACTAAAAATTGAATGTGGGATGCGTTCTAAATCACAGCGAATGAGCTCCAGCTCTGAGAGGTTGACCATCTTTTTAAGGCTATTCAGCACCATGAGCTTGGTTCCCTCGTTGTTGATGGACAGCTTCTGGAGGTGCAAGCCTACATCCGTCACCACTTGAGGTAGCTTTGTCAGATTGCTCTTTAGTCTTAGGACTTTGAGCCTTTTGAGCTCGCGAAGCCCATCAATAACAATGTAGCGATTGTTCTCCGAGCTGAGATTCCCCGTCAAGTGCAGCTCACTCAGGTTCTTCAAACTGTAAATCCACAGTGGGATTTCTTTGATGTCAGTGAACTTTATGTGCAAAGACTTTAAATTCTCTCGCAGAAAAGCTAGTGCAGGGGCCTCAATCTTGGCTGGAGTGTGGTAAAGCCACATCTCACGTAGGTTGATGAGTTGTGCGATGATTGGAGGAATAGTTACATCTGGAATAAGCTCCAGTTTAAGGACCTCTAATTCCATTAAGTCAAACACTGTGTCGGGAATACCACTGAGCATAAAAAGGTGCAACTCCAGTTTGTCCTGAGAATTTTTGGTGATCCTCTGCCTTAGCTTATCCAGCGTCCACTCGTTGTTGAGGTTGAGCTGCCTCAGTTTGTCTCGCTCACCTCAGACAGGAACACAGCAAAGCGCTTCGAATACAGAGGATCATACTGGTCAATCATGTGCAACATAAAAGCAAAGTCATTCTTCACATCAGGTATGTCACTATAGCTGCTTTCTTCACGTATGGACTCAAAGGAATATTTTTTTAGAGAGCGCCGCAGCATCCAGCAAAGAGTATACATGCAAATTAGGCCATACACAACCACTAAGCTAATGTAAAAGCAGGCTAAGATCTTAAAAAGTGTCGCCAGGGGATGTGCACAACGATACATCCTGTAACCAGTCAAGCTTTCAATGTCCACCAAACAGTCAACACTAAATTTTATATCATGCACATAATACCCTGTGTAGCAGATGATCAAAATAAACTTGATGACCTTAATAATAGTCTGACGAATGTACAGCCTGTACACAATATCTCCTTCTTCCACATGGATACGAAACTTCTTCACTTTTTCAAACAAAGCTTTTGCCTGCTCCCCCTCTTTTTTGTCTAGAACTCCTGTTTCAGTTCGATCTACAATGCCCTGCTCAATGCGCGTTTTAGTCCTTTGGAGCATAGGAACACTTGCTTCTACATCCTCACTAATAACAGATGCCTTGTGATCCATTGAACCATTCATTTTCATGGGTTTGGGGTCACTCTCTTCTACCACAGTTTCAGAAAGTGCCCTAGTTGTCCAGGGAGAATCAAAGCATTTGAGCAGTATGGATACAAAGTGCTCTAGTTTGGAGCTAGTCCTTGGAAATTTAAACCAAAAATTGCTGCAAGCGAGGAAAATGAGCGTGTGGAGTAATACTAAGTAAGGAAAGTATTTAGCAAACCAGTGCAGTCTGTTCTCATAACACACAGCATCCACATAGTTGTACTGGTGACGATCCAGATCATATTGGATTCCCCTGGGTTCCAGAAGTACTGGTGTGGAAAATGAGGAATTGAAAGACCTCTTGCAAGTTTGATTGACCACCCATTTACAAGGCAGGCAAATCATTTTGTCCTGGGTAACCTGCAGTGTCCCCCCGAACACAGAGATCATGAGCATGACAATGGAGATGTAGTCGGTGAACACGTCCCACCATGGCTTCAGGATGCGGTACGCAGGCTGTGTGTCTACAAAGTACCGAAGCTCAGTGATCGGGATCATGGTTTATCTGCAAGAAATAAGAACAAATATTTAAGCGCTTTAGAAATTAAAATGAATAGTTTCAAACAAAGCATCATAATCTATGATTTATTTTCTAAGCATGATATGCAGACTAATCACATAATTAATACAAACATGGATTGTCATAAGTTGCAGTGGCAGTTGCAGAGTTGCAGTTTTTATAAAGGTAAAAATGACAGTCTTAAGCAACACTGCCTATCATTAAATAAATTAGATTAGATTTAAAATAGCTGAATAAAAGTTGTACATACTGCACATGTCCTTAAAGCGAGCATTAAATCCATTAATAGTTTAGAAATCCACAGGGTATTTGCTGTTAAAATCAAATGGCCCAGTCCCTTCATGTCCCTCTCCAGCTCAAGCTCTGCTGACACTGACACACCCTGCATTGAGCTGCAGAGAGGACTCTTCTAAAGAAGATGTTCCGTTTTGGCTTGTTTAACCCAAACAACAGCGCCGCCAGAGGAGCCACCTCTCTCCCTGGTCTCTATTCTTAGCCATTTCCGTTAATAATACCCAGAGTATTGTCTGTGGGGGCCTTGAGAAGCACCTCCCTCGACCTTCAGGACAAGATCCTGTTTACCTTCACAGAGCTGCTGTCTCCAGCAGTGTCTCTCTGGGATACTCCACCATCACCTTTTGCACCCTGCCAAACCCAAACGGACAAAGCTACACACAGGGCTGTTGTCTAGGCGTCATTACAGATTGTTCTCTGTGAGGAAACTGTAAAGATGAGGAGACAACATGTCTATGTTTCATAACCACTATTGGCTTGAGTTCAGAGTAACTACATTAGACTGTCACACAGCCAGCCTAAAGTCTTACCTTCAGAAGTGTTATCTGTGGCCCAGTGCCTGGTGCAGGGCCTGCCGGGCCAGTCTCTGTCTGTGGACTGAACACTTGGCGTGGATCATTGCTCTCAGAGCCATCAAGTTTACTCCAGGATCTATAGATAATAAGTAGAATTGCATTAATAAATACATAGGTAATTCTTGTTCATCTGTATCAGTGGAATGTAAACACGAAATAACTTCTAATAATGGCTATAGATAGTTTAGTAAAACAGTCATAAAGCGTATAATTATAATAGAGTGAAACAAATGTTGCTCATGTGAACATCAGTGCTGACTCGGCTGCAGCCTCAGTACCGCTAGCACGGCATGTCTTTGTCATCTGGATGATCGCTCAGCAGCGGTGGATGCTTTGTTCCGTTATCCAAAGAGAGATGTCAATACACCCTACTATAAAATGTGACATAGCTCTGAACAAAGAAATATTACCGTCATCTAGCAGAGCTAAGTACATTTTACTGTTTTTGTGTAAAGGGGTGTTAGCTACGAGCTAATCGGGGGTCTTTTGCAATTTATTTTCACATAGCTGTAGCAGAAATAACGTATAACATCGTGCGTTGATAACCGCAATACAGTAAAATAATTTAGCTAAACTTACTACGCTTGCTTTGTGGTATTGATTCCAACAGCACAAAAGTATTGTTTGCAAAATTGTAATACTTTTGTTAGCATATCACGGCGGCTAGCTGTTTGTTCCACGCTTGGTCGTTTGCTCTGCCGTGCCGGCGGAGGGCGCTGTGTGTGAGACACACGCAGAAGAAGAGCTGTGTTTCCCCTGTCTTTCACAGACACATGACACAAATGCACAAGCTTCATTTTTAAGTGCTAAGTGCCCCGTAAAAGTGACAGAATGATCCGTTTGAACATTCTGCGTATGTTTTGTAGGAGTCGGACATTGCTGCAGCCTGACTCTTCTTTGAGGGAGAAAGTTAGTTTTTCCAGAGCTTTTACATGTGCATGTTGTGCATCCAAAAAGGACAACAGCTGCTCCATCGGGAATCTCCAACAGCGGTTTGTCCTTCAGGACCTTAGTGCCAAACGGGAAGTGGGTGTTCGATATATGTGTACAACTCAAGTTTTTTTTAATTGCTGGAACTGTAAAGAACTTCTAAAGCAAAAACCTGCATTTTTCTGTAAGTCTTGTCAAGTAGTCCAACCTCCATATGAAGGCACATCCTACTTTAACATCATGGAGAGGTGAGAGGATCAGGTTCAATTTATTTTCTTTTGTCTTTATTGGTTAGCTGATTATTGTTTTATTTGTATGTAGTCATTGCCTATTGCTCTCCCGTTAGTGATTGCACATTTACACTGGACACACAGAAGCTACAGAAGAAGTATTTGCAGCTTCAGCGATTACTGCATCCAGACAACTTCAGCCAGAAGTCAGAGGTATGCTGAGAGATTATAATATCTAGGGATGGGATGAGAGTGGGTCAACAAACGAGACAAGAAAATTTTTGTCATTGTCATTGTCATTGTAGGACTTTTTTTTTAAACAGCTTCTTGTCAAAAGGTGTAATTCGCTATTATTTATTTGTCTGAGCCAAATATAAACACATTTGGAAAAGATAATTTTCCACAAGTGTGCACAATGTTGTGACAGAAGATCGTGCCCCATTTCTAGCAAGTATTATATTTTGTATAAGCTGACCTATGTGGCATGACCTCAGCATCAACTCCAAACTGCCATTTAGCAAGAATGTAACATACACTGCCCACACAATCCACTCAGTGTGTTCATGTTTACTATGTGGGTCTCTTTAATTGGCCACAGAAACAATAATGAAGGCAAAGGTCACGACTGGAGACATGAGAGTGAAAGAAAAACAATAACTAAAACAATATTTATGGAACATTTTTCTTTTATTTCTATTTGTCAGAGAGCAGAGGTAATGATTAAAACCTGACTATCAGATATAGGGCTATAGTTTACATAGCCACATGAAAAAGGGTATAATATATTGTATGGACTTCAACAGTTATATAAGTTATTGCACCACATAAATCAATAAAGTAAACATTTTCAACTGGAGTTGAATTTTCTTAAATCTGTCAACAAGACAGTAGGCATGAACTTCCCTTCTTGTCGACCAAATTTAGTAAATAGTCTGGCAGTTTTAGAAAAATAACCATCATTCATACATGGAAAGCTTGGCTCAGAATTTATTTTTTGAAATCCCAATGGAGAAAGATGAAAACAATACTCCGAGTGAGATATATAGAGAGAGACCTTTCCAGTTCTATACAGGGGCTGTTTAATTTATCAGCACCTCTGGCCATTTTCTCTTAATTAGACATCCTCCTTCCTCTGGGGCCTTCATCATGTATGGAAAAGTCATTACTTATAGAAGGGAACAAGGCAGCCACCTACTGCACTAGTTGTTATTACAGAAACTGCCTAGTATGACGGGCCCGTGGGTTGAGACTATTGATTTTTACCAGAGCTGACAGACCTGATAGCAGCAAAGTGTACTTAGATCTGCCAACCCATTTCCACAATATATTCCTCTCTGTCTTGTTTCCACACGCCTGTCTTGTCACACCCAGTTCCATTGAAAAGCCCCCAAACTGCTTGTCTCCAAGCAACTAGCGGAGTTAAATCTATGTCTAATTGTTTTGTTTTATAAATTACAATAGATCAAGAAGCATGTTAAAACTGCATACAGTATAGTGTGTTAATTAATGTTAGTAAATGGTTTTATAGTGAGTAAGCATAATATTCTAACAAAACAGTTATGCATCAGCTGTAATGTAAAGAAGGACAAACTAGCAAACATCGAAATGAGTTTGATAAGAATGGAGCAATGGTGGTCAGGTGAATGAATGACAATGGACATCTGGGCTGGACTCTGTGATTAGGGCAGGGCAAAATAGAAAATAATATTAATCTCTTACACACAAATGACAGTTTTTACCTACTTTTAAACCTCATCTTGAGTTGTGTGTATTGTTGAGATAGAATGAAGATTTCCTTTTTACAAATCTGCTTCATAACTGTCACTTGACTGATGTAAAACTATTATTTTCCCACAGCAAATCCCAGCAAATTATAAAACTTGTAAACCTGCCATGCTTTGTTGAGGTTCATTATGTAACTTAGTGGATGAGTAGCCTGCCACCTGCTTGTGTCATGTAGATGTTATTGCATTGCCTGGAATGTTCCACAGTATTTCATTAAACTACTGATGTAAATGTGCTGAATTATAGTGAGGTTATTGCTGAAAATACAATGAAACACATGAATTTCTAACTTGCTGTTGCTTCGCCATAGACCTAACCTGTAACTTGGCTTTGGCATCCCCTGTTTGTCTGCATGGAGCTAGATAAGTTTAATGCCATACTGGGGTACATTCCTGCAATAACATTTTTATGGTGACAAGTAGGGCTGGGTATCATTAAGAAGTTGCCGATACGATACATACATTACATACATTGGCCACAATATGATACATATCTCGATACAGTGCACTTTTGGTTCAATATGATATATTTCAAATCGATTCGATAGGGTACAATAAAAAATAAAGGCTAAATTGTGGCTGTGATACTAAAAGTTTTTGTTAAACCACTTCTTGTGCAAAGTTCATATGAAACTCACCCATTTTAATCATCAAAACAGTGAAAATGTTAAATGTGTTGCATAAAAGAGTTTCCTTCCTGTAAACAAACAACAAAACTGTAGTGCTGTGACAAATAAATAATAGTAAAATATACAAAAAATACAATATATCGATACAGCAGCCCACAATATCTATACTGTATCATCACATTAAATGATACGATATATCGATATTCCGATATTTTTGCATACCCCTAGTGACAAGCAGGTGGCAGGCCCTCTGCTCTGCACTGTGTAACTTACCAACAGGTAAGTTACACAGTGCACCTATAAGGAAGATGGTGATTTTTCTGTCTTCTGTTTTTCTCTTTAGTGATTTGTGTGTATATTACAAATACTTATATTAGAATCAAGTGGATATAACCTTTCCTTTTAGTTCATATTGACTTAACATCAATAACAAACATTTTTGTACATGGTGTGTATTTTCCAGAGAGAGCAGGAATATTCAGAGAGCCAGTCTGCTTTGGTGAACAAAGCATATGAAACTCTGCTTAAACCTTTGAGTCGAGGTCTCTATATGGTGAGTGTAAAAATCTTTTGCTGATTTTTATTTACATAGCAGAAAACACTGTGAGTTTGTGTGATCCGGTGAGACTTCTCCTCGCCATCTGCTGTAGCGAAGACTCTGTCCTGCATTTAGCTTGCTGAACCAATGCCATATGTTTCAGCTGGAGTTGCAGGGGCTGAATATCGAGGAAGGCACAGATTCTGCTGTCAATTCTGAGCTTCTAATGGAGTTGATGGAGATCAATGAAGCCCTTGATGCAGTACAGACACCACAGGAAGCTAATGAGATCGGCCAAGACACAAAAGGTACAGGTCTGTCCTTTAGACTCATTCGACTTTACGGAGGTCCACAATGGGCTTTGATCTCACTGCTAATGGCCATGCATGTGTACAGCTGTAGGACATGGTTAATTAACCAAGAAGTATCTGATATCCATTTATGTAATGATTGAAGAACAACGGCAAATGCTTACCAAACTACAAGCTAAAATGTCTCTTCAGAATCTATAGGGTACTATTTGTAGTCAATCATTACTAGTGTTGACATAGTACTAAAGTTTTGATGGCAAGGAAAAGGCTTACTTCTGGATATTTATTTATTTATTTTGGATAGAGGTACATAGTCTCTTTTTCTTTAACTACTCATGGAATATTTTTTTTAATAATATTTATTATATCATTAGCTCTTGCGATGGGATGCTAATGTAGTTAGATTTGTAGCTATTGTATAAAACCATTCTAAAAGTATTCAGTCAAATTTTGTGCTATGAACTTTACTTTTTTGGTACTGACACTTCAAATGAATACAATTCCAATAAGTAACTAGTTTCGATGCTTGGAATACACCAAATATGTGAATCAGTAACTCAGAATAGCCCTTTTAGATCAAATGGAAAAATTCATTATTTTTGTCTGGTCATTTTTTAAGCAATACTCCACCACAGGCCCATAGTTGCTCAGATACAGTCTTGTGAAAACCCCAGTACTCACTGGAATTTGTATACTTAATAATATGACACATGAATATGACAAAATGATCAAAGACTATTTTATTATGTTGCCAGAAGCAGAAATTATTTTTATTAAGCCTTTTTTTGGTACATTTTACCACTTTCTGTAGTTCAAGTTACCTTTGAGCATACTCCTTAAAAGCCCCCTCTCCTCACTTAGTCACACACCTGCATTGACACCCTGTTCTTTGTGCTTGCAGGGAAATTGGCAGACTTGACAGAGCAGATAGACACTGCCCTCAATAAAGGTATTATCCACAGACAAATGTTCGCTTTTCTCCGACTTCTTTTTCTTTCGTCTTGTAATCTAAGCTCCTGCCTTCTCTTAAGTCACACTAGGAGTCAATGATTGAACTTTTCCTTTTCTTCTATTTTCGTAACAGGAGAGCTTCAAACTGCCAAAGCGCTGCTCACAAAAATGAAGTACTTTGCAAACATCGAAGAGAAAGTAAAAGAAAAACTTTCTAGTTTTATGTAAATGTACCTGTCTTTGTGCCACCTCATATTTATAGCCACTTTTAAACTATTGTACAGGAAAGTTTATCCTATTTTGTTATTATGTAAATGTTTTATCATGAATTAATAATAAAGCTTTATGTGATTCACAAAGCGGCATACATTTAATTTCTATATTACAAGCAAGAGAAATTTGCATTGATATTACTATGCTGTAATTTGATGCATAGGGAACCGCACTTGAATTCTACCTTTCTCACAAGCTTAATTATACCTATTTGTACCAATTGTGCTATCAAATGTGACAGAGATCTGTAATGGGCCCTCATTAAACTGCTGTGCTGAATGTTTATACGATTATCCCGCCTATCAGTTCAGCATTTGCCATGTGGGACCTACATTCACTGCACCAGCCCTTCAGTTCTTCTCTTTACCTGTAGGTGGAGACATAACCTCTCTACAACGCCTCTGCCAGAGCCTAGAGGAGCAGTACATATTGTCCTAAGTGGATGCGGGACCAGAAGGAAGTCATTTATTGAGGTAGACAACCTGTTGAATAATTAATAAGGGAGTGATAATAAGCAAAGGCCCCAGCGCATGGCGATTACCCGATGAACCGCAAATCTGTGATCCTTGTTAGTTCTTCTCACCCCTTTTATGTACTCAGTCTCTCTCTCTCTGCCTGCAGAACACTGATGGGTGTATTAGAATGGAAGTCTGTGCTCAAATTTCCTCTGTTTAAATAAAGGGAAATCTGTAATTACTCTACAAATTGAAGCTCAAGTCACAGCCATGCGACTTCTCCGGGTAACTGATACAGCGGGAGTATGGGTCTGTCATGTAATCGGATAAAGAGAGACAATGCATCACAACACGTATCAAAGGCAATATCTGTGACATGGTAATAATGCAGACCAAACCAATATTACATGTATTGGTTTACACAGACAGGAATCTCTAAAAGCAGTCCATGGAAACACAGCCTTCCTGGTTTATTAAGCCAGGGGCATCAATGTCATCTGTCTGCGCTTGTTTCTGTTTTTCACCTTAACAAAGCACGGTTTCTAATACTCTGGGATGGACACAGAATTAAACAGGGCTTCTCTGGGGCACAAAGAAACTTAGAGAGGGCTATTTATTATTCATGCTGTAATCGGAAGGGATCGTCACTGCCTTTTTAAATGAACAAGAAAATGTGATCGACCAACAGCAAGGCCACGGCTGTCCCCCACAACTCTGTGAAATTGAGTTTGAATGGGGGGACGTAGGAGAATAGCTCAGGCTAGACTAAACTGTAAAACTGACTTTGATAGGAAAACTGTGGGCCAATGAAGAAGCAACATTGAAAAAGCAATTAATTAGAAAGTGTTTTTTTTTTTTTAATCAAGTCACTACTGTAGAGTGGAAAGAAACAAGACACTGAAATAATGTACATTTTCTAATCATGAAGATAGTAATTGGTAAACAGCAGTTACTATGGTTAGTCTGAAACACTGCACTGGTCATCTTTTGGCTCCTGTCCAGAAGCCATTTTCATTTTCGAAAATTAAAATGAATGGCTTCTGGAGCTGAAACAGCTTGATCACAAAACGCAGATGACCACTGTCAAAACCTTCAGTATACTGAACCACTCATGGACGAAAGAAGGATTTTACTGTGTCTTATGTCATTACGGTTTGTTAATAATCAAAAATTAAAATGATTTCTTAAAGGTTCACTTTTCTGGTTGAGGTTCCACCACCTTCTTGTCTCCAAGGAGATGTTATACTGCTTTGCCTGGAATGTTTCACAATGGTATTAAACATAATTACTTGCCATTTTCCCCACTCATCCAAGTAGCTTCTTCAGTTCTATAATACCATGCATTTTTACTGTTAGCATGCTTGGGCTAGAGGTTCTACCTGCTTGTCTCCATGAAAATAGAGTTTAATGTCTTACTTTGGAACAATACAGGCAAAGCCATACACTCTCCATGGAGATCAAAGGCATCAAAAGTGTTAGTAGTGAAAATCTTGCAAAAAAGTGACGAGTAGCTTTATAATGTTGAAACAGAAGGCAATAGTTTACATTCATATCTGAATAATATGCAGGTACTTTTCAATTTTAGAAATGTCTTATTTACAACACTTTAATTAGTGGACAAATGAAGAATTGGATTTAGTTAATCCAGACACAACTTTTATGTAAATATTGCTGCTGAAATCTGTTGCTTTCAGTGCCACGTCCTTACACTAAATTACTAATGATGCACATTTTCAGCTATGCATAGTGCTTGGTGCTTTAAAATGACTAGGTTAAGTGTCTGAAAAATTGAATTTGCTCTGCTCATTGAGGCAGTTTGAACTAGAAAATTACCAAAAACTGTTTTACCTTGGCCGAGGTGTCTAAATAAACATAAGGATAAAGAATTAATTCCTTATAAGGTATGGAATTTCTTGTGACTAGTCTTTTCACCATCAGCTTACATTAATGCAGTGCTGTACAGTTTGGCAATGGTGTCAATACTTGTGAATAATCAACAGAAATATCTTAACATCCTTATGGTGTTGAATCTAAACTTTTATGGGATGACATCTACAAATAGTTTTCCATTAGCCAGGTCTGCACAGAAGCAGAGGCTGACTCACAGGTGCTGGTCTCTCTCTCTCCTTGTCTTTATGATGGTCATTCGCCCTCGTGCTCGGGCTCCTTTGTCTGACTCAGAGCAATCTCAGCATCCCACAGACACCTTGACAATTCTAACCAGGTAATGCTTTCAAAATCTCACACATTCTTCATGCCCGTATCCATGTTCAACCTTGGTTAATGTTTCAATACCAAGTTTTTTTTTTTTTTACCTTCTAGTCCACCTCCACCTCTGCTCTTTAAATGCACCATTTTGTATTCGCCTCCTTGGTTGTCTTCAAGCAATTTATACTGTGTCAAATGCTTCAAGCTACAGTGATTCTCAAGCTTTTATTTCAAGTACCCATTCAGAAAATATTTGGCTTTACAAGTAGCAACTTACTGAACTGGATTTGTCTTGACTATTGACCAAACCTAGTTTGATAATGGATTGTGGACCAGAATTAAACCAGATAGTAAATAACACAAATCATTAAAGTTTGAAAACCTTTCTTAGGACAATTCTTTTAAAGATAATACAGAAAAATAAATAACTAACTGCACACTTGCTGGCCCATGCTAACTGTTAAATGTTATTAATAAGATTCACAAAGTAATTAACAAACTTGCAAATAGAAGCTGCCAGGACAAAGCACATATTGCAGACTGCTTTGCACTTTTAACACAAATTAAACGTTCATTAATTCTTAATGAATCTCTATTTGAAGACCTAGCTTTTTATAGCCTGTTTCTTCCTGATGGTGAATGAGGTTAGACTGTTGACTATTGAACTGTTCTCCTAAGCATTTTAGGCTACTTTGTTTTTCCTCATTAGATGTAATTATATGTTCAATGGACACCTTTTTTGACCATAAGCTTTTTTCTTCTCTCATGTGTTTGTCATGAGAATTCCCTGTGGGGCAGCTGTGCTGCGGCAGAGGAGCGGAGATAAAAAATAAGATTTAACAACAACTTGAGAGGTGAGACAAAGGAAGCAGTGACAATTTCTTGGCATAGGCAGATTGTTCAGATAGGCAGGATGAGTGAAGGTCTTGCTCAAGGATACAACAACAGTAGCCTATGCTCTGATCTGAGCAGAGTTTGAACAGATGACCTTTAGGTTGGTGGACAAGTGCCTAACCATTGAGCTACTGTTGAAAAATTATTGTAATATGATGAGTAATGTTGAGTAATATGATTTGATTTAAAGGTCCCACATTATTTTATTTTCTAATGATTTAATAATGTTGTTTCCTCATCAGAAACATACCTAGAGTTGTGTTTTGTTTAACACACATATCCTGCATCTTTAGGCTGAGTTCTTCTCTCAAACAGAATACACCTTGTGATGTAATGTGTTAATACAGGATGTGCTCCATTGTGTTTTAAACTCCATACACCTTAACTAGAATCAAAATGGAAATATCAGGCCTGGAACTGCCAATCTCTTTACAAGAGGTAAAAGCTGCAAACTTGAAAACTTACCACCATATAACATCACAAGTTGGAACAGCGCATTTTGAACTTTGGAGATGTAGACATACTAATAATAAAGGATGACTTAAACGTGTGTAAATGAAACAAAACACGACTCCAGATATGTTTTATGATGAGGAAGCATCAATATAACACACAATACAGCATAACGAGCCATTCTTGTGTAATATGGGACATAAAAGACATAAGCTTGAAGTATTACTCCACTGTCCACGCCGCAAACCTGATCTGGATTTATTCTGAAGCAATGACCTTTACTTGTCCAAACTGTTATTTTGCCTTTTTAGGGCATGTCCTACATTTAGGAAGCCAGTCCCAGCACACACATCACACTTTGAGAGGACGCTGGCGAAGAAGCAGATCCTTCATTGATAAATGGCCTCCACATTGTGCCAAGTGGGCTGCTATAATTCAAGCCTGTCTGATTAGGTGAGTGGACTGCTGTGATGGGCAGGAACTTCAACTCTCTACTTAAGGTACTTGAAAACTGTCAGCTATTAATTTTCTAGTGGCCTAAATTAATGCATTTTACATTACATTATGAGTCTTTAGGGCTGAATTCATATAGCAGCTCCATTCAGAAATGCAAGATTACTCTGTATAGATGTTATTGTATTTAGCCCTTCAAAACAAAACCATCAGGCATATTTTTGCATTCTATTCCACAAATGAGATTAGCTTTCCTATTGTTAGCGCTGCCTGTTTTGTGTCACATGAATCTTGTACGTAATCAAATCAAAATAACAAATGCCTTTAATGTTTATTTGTGGCATGGTGATAATAACCCAGAGAGATTGCACTGCTGCTGTAATTAAACGCATCTGAACTGGCAGGATGTGGGCGGATGTGGAAGTTAAGAGGGATTTTTGTTGGCTGTCCCACTGAAACTCCAGGAGAGATCCCATCAAATAGCTCCTTTGTGCTCCTCGGGCTCAGAAAGCGTTTGATGGCGTCTGACTGAAAGGATTTAAACAAGGTGTATGTGCGCAGATGGACCATTCATTCTAAAACGAGTGGAGTAGAAAGCACTTAGCTCCAGTGAGACTTGGTCC